CCCTATCACCAAATCCTTAATGTGTGTTTTTAAACAAACTCTCATAACCCGTCTAAAAGGTCCCTGACAAGTATATTCCACATCAGCATAGCTCTTTATAACACTAACTCTAAACCGGGACTTTAGATGATTCAGGACTGTTGGGAACCGTAGAGCGGACTTCACCTTGTTCTTGCTGCTCTCACAGGACTGCAGGCTGGCCAGGATCTGGCTCTCGATGACCTGCACCCAGGCGTCTCGCTCCTCGTACGAAGTGGCTTCGAAATGCCACGTCTGCCCCCCGTCACGAACACACGATGTGAACTCAAAGTTTCCTCTTGTTCTGTTGGTGAGAGATAAAACAACAAACAAACGAGATTTAATACAGGAACATCGGACGCAAAGCATCCAGCCGCGTTCCACCTCGGCCGCTTGGTTTCTCGCTCTTATCCAGAGACAGACGAGCTCGATGCTTTGTGATTTCAAAATGGCTGAAATATTTAGTACCAACGGTTCTCCCAAAGGTTCTGTTCATGTGAAACCAAACCGTCTCCATTACTAGAGGAATCACCCTTTTCCTAAATGCTCCTTTCTTCCCCTTTGCCCCTTGATGTCCTGAAATTTCCATAATTTCTTCCAGGTAAATAAAGATTATACTGGCGCCATGTCAGGATAATATTAAAGACCACAAACCAATCTCGTCTATAATTCCACTTGATGCTCCACATACCAGGAACACACCTAGAAAAATTGAGGCCTGCTCCAACTAGTCACATTCAAACAATCTGACGTATAATCTTTGATCAGAGAATAATTCAAATCATCAATCAATCTCCCAGACAGAAGCAGCTCTGTCCACGTGTGAACTGTGATATTTAGCAGAAACATGTCTTTTCATTCATACGAAGCTCTCTGACTGAGGGACACCCTTACGGCCACTGGTGACCTACTTGACCCCGCCCACTGAAGCCAGGATGTCGCCTAAATTATGAGGCCCTGTGCCCTCTCCTCCACTCCAGCCCCCCGAGGGCCCCAGAGAGGGCCCCCCCCCCCGTTGATGAATGTCAGTGGGAAAGGTCAGTCATTACAATCAAGGCCTGCTGGAGGGGGACATGGAATCTATTACCCAGAACCCCCTCAGAGGTTAATGGGACAATCAGGAGTCAATTAGACTGAGTGTGTGCATGTGTGTGTTTGTATACGACTGTAGAAGAGATTAAAAGTCCTCGGCTTCTTTGAAGCAGTTGTATGTCTGCATAAAAAGGTACAGTTCACTCAAACACCATTATACACCAACACATACAGTATATCTCAAATACTACATCAGACGCCTTTTAAATCAGAGTCTCAGTTTCTTTTGACTCCAAAAAGTAAAATGTTTGCTTCCAAAGTGACAAACTGCTAAAAATGTAAGAGGAAGCTTTCCATCCAACACCCAGATCCTCCACACTGTCAGATGAACTGGGAGTACTTTCAATAATGATCGGTCGATTATATATCAACAGTTAGCTATAAGTATTTGCTTTCTCTGCATCTAACAATTCTTCATCGATTGATTAATCTGAGAATTAAATGTTTAGCCTAAAAAGTCCACCAATTTTTCAGAGCGCAAGATGGCGTCTTTAAATGTCCTGTTTTTGTTACCCATGAACCCAAGTATATATTCCATTTCTTATGGTTTAATACAGAAAAGCATCAGAAATCATCCGCACAACTGGAAAACTGGAAACCAAGATGTTAATGTATGTTTGTCCCTGATAAATAACCTAAGTGATTAAATACTCATCACTAAAGTTGGCAATTCATTTCCGGTTAATCGACTATTGCTCTCAGTCCTAATCTGGACTCGACTGTTGGTCGGGCAAAACAAAACGTCTGACGACAAAAACAAGGCCATGGGACACTTGTACACTTTCATTATCTGACATTTCTTGACACTAATTAACCTAAAATAATACTCATGTATATCTTAAGAAGTTATATATAGTTGCAGCCCTACTTTGTTACCAAACAATCTAAATTCTTATCAATACACAGAAACGGTTCAAGCTAGTATCTGTAGATTTCAAATTCATTTCAAAGCTTTCAACCCCAAAACAGCGTGAGAGTTCATTCTTGACCTCATCAACAGCAGCAGAGCTCTTCACTGTATCTCACGTTGTTCATCAACTTATTGTTGGCTCAGTCTCATGAAGTTGACTCACTTTACTGGGCACCTGAGACTCTTCATCTCTGTTGGCTAAAAAACAAAAATAATCTTAACTCAACCTATTAGCTTTTTGGGAACTTTAAACTGCAACTTATAGTTATATACTTTTTCACAATCACTCCTTGACATCTTAGGTTTTAGCCACCATGAACAATGGGCCGTAAAAATGTTTTTCTACAAATTATCCAACAACTCTGTTAGCTGATGGAGACTCAGAATAAAGATTTACTGTATTCTAGGATAAACTGTCCCATTTGAAGACAGTGAAATTCAGCAGCGATGGTAGGTCTCAAGTTTGATGTTCTGCAACTGTTCGTGAACACGTTAAATGTTTCAGCATCGAGCCGGCTCTCGGAGGTCTGAGGGATGTTCGGTGTGGTTTTGCTCAACTTGAGCACATTTGGAAACCGTTAGAGACCGCAGAAAGGATGGGAAGTGGAGGTGAAGCGGGGGCATGGCTGAGAGCCGGTATCATCGCCACAGCAGATCAGACAACGACCAGCTTCTGTTTACAATTAGCCCCAGTGAGGAGGTAAGAGATGAGGGGAGGCAGGGGGGACACACAGGGTAATCACTTAATCAAAGGACGGCCTCCAGCACGGCCAATAATTCCCAGGATTCCTCAGTATCTGACCCTCAACAAAAGCATGTGAAGGGGTTATATCTGTAAGAAATGCTCGGCTACAGACATACCCATCCAAAACAGCACGAGGAGTCGGCAGATCTCAGCGTGGAGGTCGGTAATCAGTCATGACACTTTCAGACGAGCGTTTCTGGAAGCAGCAGTTTCATGACGTGTGCCGGGAGTGAAGCGGCGAAAAGATGAGGGGTTTAATCAGTCGGAGAGCGGTCACGGCCGGCCCGCGAGGGAACGACCATTTGCTCTTCCTCAACTCCAGTCATTTGGCTAATTGGGAGCGTCTCAGAGCACCGGAGCTGAAGTTCCCCTCTGGCTCCGCTCTGGATAATCAATGGTCTTGTCCGAGGAGAGGAAGGACGGAAGGTAAGGATGGAAGGGAGAGCCCCGAGGCCAAACGACCGGCTGAGTAGACCTTCCACTTCCAGGATAAAGATTGAAAACACCTTTGCTGACCAAAGTTTCCTTTGCTGGAGATAACGGTGGATTATTTTCATCTGTTAGGGGCTCCAGGCTTATGATGGGCTGAGTCTGATTAGTTGATGTTAATTAAAACTACTGTTTACAGGGGCTGGTTAATGGCTCAAGGTGAAACCAGACTTTTATTCTAAATTTGCAGCTGAATGCAGTTTCCCTTTTTTCCACGAATTATAATGGAACGTATTAGTTGATGCACTTTAGTCCAACGCAGAACAATATGTTTTCCAAAAAGATGCAGGTCAAAACAAAAGTTTTCTTTGAAAATTAAACTCATGACAAATATTTGTTGACAACCTCTTATTCATAACGGAAACTCTGAAGTATATTAAATGAAATGTGTCTAATTTTAGATAAGAGAACAGTTTAACGTACACTGATCAGCCATAACATTAAGACTAAGGTGGGATATATTGTGATCATTTTGTCAGAAGCAAGGATTTCAGCGACTTTGACAAGGCCAAACTGTGATGGCTAGACGAGCATCTCCAGGGGTCAGTAGCATCAGAGCAGGCGACGGGGTCATGGACGGCCAAAGGCTCACTGGGGAGTGAAGGCTGGCCCCTATGGTCCGGCGAGCTACTGTCGGCCACACTGCTGAAAAAGTTGATGCTGGTTCTGATAGAAAGTTGTCAGAACCCACAGCGGAGTCCATGCTTCAACGGGTCAGGCTGGTGGTCATAATGGTGGATATGAATCACAGCTTGAGAGTGTTGTTGCTCAAGCATATGCCCCAACTTCTCAGCCAAACCCTTGCTGTCAATTCTTTCTTCTCAAAGTGGGGTCTGGGGGACCTCCAGGAGATCCTGAGGGGGTTCCATAAGTAAGCCAATGACAGAAAGCCAATGCTATTTTGGTCATGGGTTTCATTCGCTTTCTGTAACAAAACATCTAAAAGCAAAAATCCTATCAGATGTGGGACCTCATGGCAAAATCAACTGGGGGTCCGTGGTCTAGTTTGTGTCAGTTAAGGGGTCCTTGATGTGAAAAAGTTTGAGAACCACAGCTCTACGCTGAAGAACAGAACAAACTTGCAAAACTCAGCAATCCTGCAAACAATGTCCAACTCAAGCCCCTTCCACAGCTCTGCACTGAGCTGTACACTTTGTCAAAGGCTTGTACTGTGTCATTCTGCAAAGTCCCACATGCCTGAGAAACCAAGTGACCAAAAATCATCTCTCCCTATCAAAGTATGAAAGGAGCACCTGCTGCTGCCTGAAGAGTCACGTTTTCTATCGGTTATGTAATGCACCTAGCCTCCCTACTCCCCACTGAAGGGTAAGCGGTTCGATACGTGCCAGAATTTAAAACTCTGAATATTAAAATGTGTAATGAAGGGCAAACTGTTCATAATGCAGAAAGGGATAATTCAGTGTATTTGGAGGCTCCTGGGTCTTCATCGGGTGCGTCTTCGTTCTAAACGACAGCCCACCCATCAAGCGCCGGTTGAGCCCTGCAGGGTCAAGAGCAAGAATCCCATCATAATTAAATTCCCATGATTCTCTGTTTTCAGGGGGAGGAGGGTTTGGCTGCTTGACAATTATGGAAACCAACAATCCAGAAAGGCCCTGCCTCTCCGCAGTGTAAATTAAATGCTGTTTCTGGATTTAAATGCTGTACGCTGACCCAGCGCGCCGCGGCGGCTAATGAATAAAATGAGGTGGGCATCAGCCTGTGCAGCTGAAGGACCACTCCCACAACCCAGTTTCCCTCTGAACCCCCCAGCTGAGTCTGTACTTCACTCAGCAGCTCCTGACTCTACAGGAACAGTAAACCAACATGACATTTAAAGCTGTAACGATCAATATTTGTATATTATCAATGGATCAAAAAAGGCTGTGTACAATGAGAATAGTGAGGGGCCCACAGGATTATCAAACAAGCTATGTTTGACATAGCAAGAGACCTGCTGGTGAACACAGTGGAGCATTTAGCAGCTGAAGAGCCAGATATTTCCCCTCAGGTGACCAAACACAGAGCTAAAAGAGAGAGAATACTGGGGGCTGGAGATTCTCAGTAA